CTGGACACACCTGGATGCACCCCTGGGATGTGCTGACTGCAAACTTGGGTGGTTTCAAGTATTTGGGGTTATTTGGGGCTGGTTTTGGACTCTTGGGGCTTTTCTGGAGCTTTTTGGGGGGTGTTTTTAGGGTGGTTTGAGGCAGTTTCGCAGCTGGATTTGGGGCTGTTTTGGAGCTGCTGCATTTGGGGTGTTTTGGGACTGATTTGGGACTCTTTCCTCCCCGTCCCCGTCCCAAGGCTCTTTTGGGGCTGACTGAGGGCCCATTGGGGACCCGGTCCCGTGGCCCGGTGCTCACCGACGGCGTCGGCCCCGAGGCAGCGCAGCAGCCGGCACTCGGCGGGGGTCTCGTAGCTGGGGCCCCCCACGCCCACGTAGACCCCGGGCTGGGCCCGCAGCTCCTTCGGGGCCAGGGCCAGCGCCAGGCGCCGCAGCGCGGGGTCGTAGGCGTCCGTCATGGCCGGGAAGCGCGGCCCGAACCTGCCGGGCACCGATTTGGCCGGCGGTCACCCAAAAACCAGCCTTTCCCACCCCAAAATGGGCGTTATYACCTCGAAATCAACCCCTTTCCCACCCAAATCTCTGCTTTCCCCTGCCAAAGTCCCCCCTTTGCCCCCAAATCTCCACTTTTTTCCCCTCAAATCTGCCTTTTCATCCCGAAATCGCCCTTCTTCCCCCCACACCCTGCCCACGACCACGCCCTGGCCCCACCCCAGCAGACTCCACCCACCTCTCGTCATTGGGCCCCACCAGGGGCGAGCGTCCGGCCAGGCCGGGGAGGTCGATGTGGTCMCGGATGACCAGCAGGTGCCCGGGGCCGAGGTGTGGCCGCAGGGACCCCGCAGCATTGGTCAGCACCAGGGTGTGGACTCCGGCCAGGGCCAGAGTGCGAACGGGGACCACCACCTGTGGGCGTGGCCAGGGTGTGGTCAGGGTGTGGTCAGGGCGTGGTCAGGGTGTGGTCAGGGCGTGGTCAGGGTGTGGTCAGGGGGTGGTCAGGGGGTGGTCAGGGTGTGGCCTGGGCGTGGTCAGGGCGTGGCCAGGGTGTGGCCAGGGTGTGGTCAGGGTGTGGCCAGGATGTGGCCAGGGTGTGGCCAGGGTGTGGTCAGGGCGTGGCCAGGGTGTGGTCAGGGTGTGGTCAGTGCATGGTCAGGGTGTGGTCAGGGTGTGGCCAGGGTGTGGTCAGGGTGTGGTCAG